CAAATGAGGAGGAAGAGGAAACGTAAAACTGGTTTAATAAAAAATATGTTTATTGAAAATAGTGTACTGTACAACCCTATAATTTCTTATATTGAGAAGCTTGTTACACACCCTGACTTTGAAAAGGTGACAGATCCTTCCTTATTTGACCCAAATGAAGATGTATTAGATTCTTTCACAAAGGGTGAACGTTTTAAGAAGAGCAAATTTTTCAAGAAGTTTCCAAGAGCTTTAAGGATACAATTGTATTATGATGAGTTCGATCCTTGTGATGCCATCGCCACCAAAGCTGGTGTGCACAAAATTGGTGCTTTCATCTGACTTTTGAAAACATTCATTCCCGTTATCGTTCTAATTTAGATTTTATTTGTCTTGTCGCATTGTGCAATGCCAACACGATCAAGGACGTTGGGATTGATATTGTTATGCAACCGATTCTTAATGATCTTAAAAAATTGGAGAAAGGCATTCGTCTTAAAAGTGGACTAATCATACATGGATCATCAATATCAGTTAATGGGGACAACCTAGGTACTCATTGTATCTGTGGATTCAAAGAAGGGTTTACAGCAAACCATACTTGCCACCATTGCATGGTAGATCAAGACCAGCTCCACACAATGACAAGAGAGAAAAAAGACTTGTTAAGAACATCCGAACAATATGATAAGCAGGTGGCAGAGATGTCAGCAGCGTCATCAAAGAAGAAAAGAGAAGAATTGAGCACTAAATTTGGAGTTAACCGTGGTTGCAGTTTGAATGAACTACAAACTTTTAAAGTAATAGGATCCGTAGTAGCGGAAACCATGCATGACTTGAACGAGGGCTGCTTAAATGTTCAAGTACGATATCTTTTCTCCCACTTAATGTCTGGTGAGAAACCTATTATGACTCTTGATTGGTTGAATGAGGTCCTTGCAGACTTTGACTATGAATACTCAGAAATTTCAAGCAAATCATCTTTAATTAGAAAAAGTCATGTTGAAGGTAAGGAGAGCAAGCTGCACCAGAATTCATCTCAAATGTGCCAACTAGCAATGACAATACCTTTGATTTTGGGTCCTCACGTTCCAGATGATGATCTGCACTGGGAAAATTTTTTGCTGTTGATTCAAATTTGTAAAATGGTTTATTCTCCTGAAATTCATCGCCATGAAATAGATGAACTCTCTGATGTCATTGAACTATATCTGTCTGGTTTTCAAAAGTTATATCGAGAATTAATTCCTAAACAACATTTTTTGGTGCATTATCCTCGGCTTCTTTTAGAAAACGGAGCCTTGACCCTCTACAACTGTATGAGAATGGAGGCATTTCACCGCCAGTGTTAAAGAAAAGCTTACTCTCTTGGCAACTACATTAATATTGAATCATCACTCGCTATGTCTTATGCTCTGGACCAGGCTGTCACACTATCTGGAAGTTTAATACCAGCAACAAAGTATGGACCAACCTCAAAGAAGAAACTAGAAGATAGATCATACAAACACCTCTTGGCTGGCTCAGAGTATGTTGTTGAATCGAATTGGGTGACCCACAATGGCCTGACAGTGATTTCAGATCGTTGCTTCTTGGCATTTGAATGCAAAGATTTTCTGCCATCATTTGCTCTTGTCAAACATTTAATTGTTTGGCCTGAACTGATTTTCATCTGTCAGAAGGCGAACTCATCTTGTTTTAATTCTCATATGAATGCCTTTGAAATCGAGTTGACAGAAGATTTGATCGCATTAAAGCCTTGTGACATTCTTGGTCATTCGGTCTTTCACTCCCACGAAATGATTGGAAAGCAATGGATCGTGACCACGTACAGTATTAAAGGCAGCTTCTGAAGTAAGTTTTGTTTAAAACTATAAACTTATGCTCTGAATGCCTATGAATAGATGTATATATTGGGTTCCATCGGGTTTGAGTAATGTTTTTGTGTTTGGGTTGTAGTTAAGCAAAACTAACACGGCATTTTCAGCTTTACTTTTCAATTATTTTGTTGACATTTGTGCTATTACTTATTATCCTGTGCCTTAAAATTTTCATGTTATTTTTAGTCTTATTAATTTTTTTGAAATTCTGTTTCAGTTGTAACAATGCACTCGGAAAAAAGTCACTTGGATCCAAGGGATATTCTAAGGGGGAAATGTACAAAATGTGACTGCGAGCAGTACACGTATGATGCCTCAACAGGTCAAGCTGCTTGCACTTATTGCCAGTGTCCCCCACCAGCTCATGTAAAGGTTCATGAATCTGCTGTACAGTAAGTTGACATTTTAGTACTATTTTTTTTTTATTGTTGCATTTGTCTTCATGGTTTTGTTTAATGTTACAGAAATTTTTCTGTGCCTGTGACACAGAGCATTCAAGTGGGATCTGATAGTAGTGTTCAAATGATTGTTCAAATCACACCTAGTAAAAATGCTCCTACTTCTCATCAGGTAAATAAATTTATTAGTAATAAGAGATGTCAGAAACCACTATTTATTCCAGCTATCCTCTAATATGAACTATTTTTAAAAATTTCTGTTTCTTAAAGCTTCGACCACCAATTGTTGTTCCACATTCAAGCGATATGCAGGCAAATTCTGGTTCTTCTAATCAAGTTGATGGCGTAAGTTGTGATACTCTTAACTTTTCCCAGCTCGATATGATAAGTTGAAATTTCCTGAGTTAAATAGTCTTCTGTTTTCTTATTAACAGCCACGTATATCTGGAGAAACCCAGGTCATTATTTTGAATCCACAACTTAATTCACTGGAAAGTTTTGTAAACAACTCTGAAGAGGAGGTAATTATGCAAGTTAGCTAAATGGCTTTACTTTCTCTGAATTAAAGGATACATATTGTGACTTACGTGCATTACCTTTTGTTTTAAATAGATTACATCTGATGACATTCCAATGCCATCTGTGCTGCCTGATTATGTGAATGATGCTCTGAAGGATAAGTTGCTCGAAGCCAGGCACAAAAGTAGCATTGTTCGAGCTGTAGTTCACAAATGTATTGATGAGAAAAAAGATACTAACAAACATTTAAGGAAAGCAGCACTCAAAATAGTAAAGAAATATTCTCCAATGAAAAAGAGAATGGATCCTGATTGTGTAAGTACTTTTAAGTATTAAATAACATACTCTGTATAGTTAATAGGAAAAAATCTACTCAAATCTCTAATTGATTTTATTTCACATTTTTTCAGTCTGCTTTGTACAAGAAACTTGTCAGAACTAGAGACAGAATCAAAAATCCATATCCTACTTCTAAACGTTCTGGTCCGAAACAAGTAACTGCTGCACTCAGTGAGAATGAGGCACAGCAAGCAATGGTAAATGATTGGGCATCAAATAGGCGGAGTGTCACTGTAATGGCGACATACCTGGAAGCTTCGCGAAAGCTAAGAAACAAAGAGGCGAAGAAAAGCAAGTCACTCGATTTGCTGATCAGATACCCTGCACTGACTATCCCTGAATTGGTAAATAAGTTCACCATCACAGTTGTATCTTGTGTTTCTTCTTCTTCTTCTTTAAATACATAACTGAAATGTATGTCAATTTTTCTCACGATTAGTTGTCACTTGAATTTTCTGAGATGGATGATGTTAAAGTTTCGGTATCCACAATGAAAGCTAATTGGTTGATGAAGCTTCCGTATATTACTAAGTTTTTAAAAGAGCAATCAATTTACAACATTGTAGACGGCCTATCAGTTGGTATGTATCAGCCAAACTAGCTCTGCCTTTTTAGTTTCAATCAGCTGGTTTTAATTAATTGGTCTTTCACTTTTTTTAGAACACCAGACTACAATGGTACTGGAGCATATCCACAGAATACCTCTATTTCAGAAAGGAAAGGCCAAGAACGCACTAGAAAATAGATCCTGTAGAGTTCTTGAAGTATTCCCGGTTAGTTCGAGTATTAAGTGTAACTTATATTTAATGCTTGGGGATTTTATTGAAAGTTTCAAAAATTTTCAGGAAAATACTCCTATTGCAGAAGCCAGGCCTAATGCCAGGGATCCTGCAAGACTCTCAGCCATTGGCAATCCATTGGGCATCTGCAGTTTTTTTGCTTATTCAGACTCTGAGGCAATCTTCGACACTGAAGATTCCATTGAGGCAATTCTGCTCCTTCTGGCTACATACTGGGTGTTCCACCTGACATTTGGAGTTGCAAATAAGTTACCAATATTGTTCGTGTCTGCTTGCATTCTGGGCCCC